GAAAAAGTATCCAGTGTACTCAGCCCTACTATGAAATTAATTTATAGCTTTCATATGAAAGCTATAACCCAATTATCGCCCAAGAATATGGGGAAAGGGGGGAGGGAGGGAAGAGGGGAGGATGGGTGAAGGGAGAGTAACTGGTGGAACCACACCTACAGTGCATCCTACATGTTAAATTTACTAAGTATAGACTATAAATGTCTTAACAGAATAACTAAGAAAATGCCATGAAGGCTATGTTAACCAGTTTGATGAAAATATTTCAAATTGTATGTAAAATCAGCACATTGTACCCCATGATTGCATTAATGTACACAGCTATAATTTAATAATAAAAAAAGAAGAAGGAGGAGGAGGAAAGGAGGGAGAAAGGCAAGAAGGAAGAGTGGCAAGGAGGGAGGGAGGGAAGAGGGAAGAAGGCTATTCATGTTGTTGGAAGTGCACTTGCCAGCTATTCTTTACCTTCTCCAAGAACAATTTCCTAATTATCTTATATCATTTACTCTTCCTTTCATTTGCCTGTACTTGTGGCATATAGCTTTAAAAGTTATCTTTTATTTATATATTGTATAGGTACCTTGTCTTTCCTAGGCGTAGAATTGCCCTGATGCTAGGAACCTGAACCTGTCTACCTTTCGCCTGCTTTTCATAATTCAATCCTTGATTCAACATCTAATGAGGACCCACGACACACCAGAAACCACCTGCATGCTACAAATACAGAGCTCAGAAAGGCACATTCCCTTCCCTCAAGCAGCTCTGAGATTTACAGGGAAGACAGATAAATAAACTGGTCTCTACTATCCAGTGAGATAGTGTTGGGTGCAAAAGGGACACAAAGTGAGTTCTGGAGATTCACTCCTCAAAAATGGGAGCCCCAAACCAGCAGTACCAGCAGCCTCTGGCCCCCTCTGCACCTGTTCATCAGAGTTAGCATTTGAGGTAAAATCTGTAGGCAGTATGTGCCCTTGGGAATTGCTGAGGCACTGCTTTAGAAGCACATAGGTGGACCACCAAATGCATCCTTGGGAGGGGGAGAGTGGATCACAGGAAGCTTCCCAATGACACGGATTCTAAGTGGATACCTGAAGAAATGAGACTAAATTACCTTAATTGTACCCCACTTCCTACAACAACACGCCAAATTAGGCACTGCTACCCAAGGGCACCCCATGTATAGAAGGCCCTACTTACTATTAAACTAAATGCTTCTCATGGACCTCGGAAGAGAGACAAGGAGCTTCTCAGGGAAAGACAGGCTAGTAGGAGTCTTGAGCCCCAGCTCTGCTGCCACCACTGTCCCTATCCACATCTGGCCTGCCTCTCCCCACCTGCCTCCAGGTCACTCACCCTTGACCACCACTAGGTGGACAGGATGGAACAGGATTTCAGGGTCCTTGAGAGGATGGTAGATCACACACTGATACACTCCCGAGTCTTCTACTTGAAGGTTTGCCATTCGTACAAGCAGCATGGCCTCAAGAGGAAAGTCTTCCAGCGTGACCTTCCCTGTTTGGACTCTACTGTGATTCCCCGAGGTGCTCTCTGTGACTGCCAGGGTCAGTGGTTCCTCTCCATCCCTCAGCCTCTGCCAAGCCTTCCTGCTGTAGGCATGTTTCTGGATGTTGAAGGGGCACTGCACTTTCAGGGTCTCTCCCTCTGCCAGGACACACTTTTCTGAGTCAGATGATTCAGCTGCACCTTGGAGTTCTGTTAGCAAGGAAAGAGAGTCAGGTACTCTGAGGAATAGCTTTTGTCTCTTTGGGAAAAGAACAAAAGGAGAGGACCCACCTGTTCTTCTTGTCCAAGCACCCATTTTTTCAGACAAGGTCCTGGAGGTCTCTAGGGAAGACACAACTTCCCTGCAAGCCAGTACTAGACCTTTCAGATCTTTCTGCCATGGGTTTCACTGCAGGAGTGAGAATCCATACAGTCCATGCAAATTAAATTTTAAAAATTATCAGATTGAGAGGAAGAAACTATCTGACTGGAGACAGAACATGAAATGTTTTGCTAAGACCACGAGTGTGGGGGACATGATGAGAAGGAAAGGTTATGGGGAGCATCGTGTCACATGAAAAGTGGATGCAAAGACATAATACCAGCAGTCAGTGTCTTCCCAGGACTGGTTGAGAAACTTCATCTAAGTCAAGGCAAACAGATAGTTCAATAGACCATTGGACAAAAAGCGAGACGCCATCCTGGGAGCATGGTGGACATTGATATCCGATGTGGAAGCTGGCACTCCTTTCTACCTTCCTTGGGTGGCAGAGCACCTCTTTCTCAGGAGGACCCACCTTCTGTGGCTCCACTGATGGGACTGTCCACATTCTCAAGGATGGAAACATGACACAGGCTTTACTAAAGTACACCATCATCCTGGCCATGCTGATTGGTTTAAGAAGGAGAACACAACTGGGCTAGACCTACCAGAATCCTCCCTGAGATGCCTATAGCTATTAAGAAAAATATTCTTTCTTGCTGGGGTTGATGGATTAGTGAGATATGAAATGCTTTATAATGTGTAAAATATGTTATCTGAGAATGAGACCAGAGAATAAAGAGAAGAAAAAGGGATGACAGAGAGAGAGGGAGAGAGCAGAGAGAGCTAACAGCATTATCTGAGTGATGGACTTAGCTGTGCTCCTAAACAGCACCCTGGTACTTCCTAGGTCCAAGGAATCTAGAAATCTTCCCTCCTATTTTTGATGTCAAGAAGTCACAGCAGTCTTTCTTCACTTGGGGGACAATTTTTGCACCCCTGGGGCCACTGGGCATATCTGGACATTTTTGGTTGTAACCTGGGATGGAGTGGATGCAGCAGGCAGCCAGTGGAGGTCTAGGATGCCGCTAAGCACTCTACGGGGCACAAAACAGCGCCTGGCAAAGACAGCCCCACCCAAATGTCAGAAAAGGAGAACTCTTGGTTAAAGGGACAGTAATTTCAGCCACACTCTTAGAGACTGAATCAGATTAAACACCAAGAATTGGAAATGATCTTCTGGTCTGATCCATGCTGTTATTAGTCTACTACTACTCACACTCATGCTCATCCTCGCACGCCCAGTGAAAAATGCCAAGTGCTGCCCTTTGCTGAAGGCCCTGCATACTCACCCCAGGATAGGCCAACAGCTCTGCCTAACCTTGGGAAGACCTGACTCAGTGAGGATCAGGAAGGTAAAGTCAGGGTGAACGTGGACTTGTCCAGGCCTAGGCTTCAGTTTGTAAGGAAACCTTGCAAACAAGCCACTTGGACAGTTCCTACAAACTCTGGTCAGGAATGCCCATCCCAGAGACAGATGAGCAGGGGCTGAGGGTTGCCTTAAACCAAGTTTTGTTCCCTCATTTATCAGTCTGGGCTGAGAGTCTTCTCTGTGCCAGGCACCTGGACTCTATCCTTGAGTTGCCACCATTGAAGCCCCAACCCCCTAATGTTACAAAGAAATCTCTTTATAGGCCGGGCGTGGTGGCACACGCCTGTAGTCCCAGCACTATGGAAGGCCGAGGC